CCCTTATTACCGAAGTCGAACTGATAACCGGAAAAAAACTAACTGAACCTGAAATGCTCACTCCTCATAAAATGTGAACCAGCATTCCTGCATTAAAATATTCTCTAAGCAAAATATTCACATATATGAAAAGGGAAAAACCTGTGATTCTGACACCGTGTATTTTGCCAGCAATTTCTTCTTTTCCGCGGTTGTAAGCAGCTGGTGGGGAGGAACAAGGTCATGCTCCTTTATGTTGAACAACAGTTCAGCCTCCTGCAACATTAAAGCTTGCAGCAGTTAAAGATCAGTAAATCTGCAAGTTCTTCCATCTGTATTGACTATTGAATATGTCCAAGGCTCCAAGCAGATATTGAATATTGAAGACTTGAGGTCAACTCAAGGATAACATGAATATTAATAATATTTGTCTCGTAAAAAAGAGTCATGTACTCATGTTTGAACAATGTAAAATGTTTTAGTTTTGGTGAGGTACCAGTGCCAGTCCTTAGCAAGTGTAAGATGTGCACTTGTAAAGTGCCTAAAAAAATAACTAATCACATTAAGGATTAAAAATATTAGTCCAAGCATAGTAATACCTTCAATATGATACATAGAGGTTTACACTTGCTCCGGACCGGCACTGATACCTCACCAAAATTAAAGCACTTTACATAGAGGTTTACACTTGCTCAGGACCGGCACTGGTACCTCACCAAAATTGAAACACTTTACATTGTTCAAACATGAGTACATGACTCTTTTATGAATTACACATGAGTAAATATTACACTTGAATTACAGTGTTTATAAAACTTTCAACTGTATTAGATGATATGTTTTGTTGAATCTCTTTTTTTTACGGAGTAATAATTTTGCAAATTCTATGAACTTTTCTCTCCTCTGTATAATTTAAGATGTTCATTTTTTTCTTCAATTTTTCACGTTACATCTAGTGAAGTCCTGTGAGGCATGAGCTATATCTAGTGTATTAGCCTCCTATCATCACAGGATCTAACAGATACTTAGGGTTTAAAATCAATCCCTGTTTGGCATGGTAATCAGCCAGGGCGTTATCATATCCTGGTGAAACTATCTCTTTGGCAAGATGTGAAATGTATTCTATAGGGATATTATAGTCTTACACGGATGCTAAATGTTCTAGTGTTCTTGATGAAAATAGATTGCAAATCGGCCATATATTTTGCATTATAGGTTGTAATGTACTAATGTTTGTAGGAGTGCAACTTTACACCATCTAGTATCATTATCTATCACATGAGAAGAATATGGGGATTATAATAAGGGTATGACTGGTGTTTATTTGGTAATCCCAGTAATCTAAAATTCTAAAAAAAACATATTTATGCCAAGAATGAGAGAGCATCATTTACCAAAAAAACCTCTATGAGACACAATGAAGATATTTCATTAATGCAATCACGAGCTTGTGAAGCCAATTTCTTTTGGAGAATCAAGATTGCCCTCTTAAAGCTCTCTGTCCTCATGCGAGCAATATAGCTTCTTATATTTTGAACGCCAATCTTGTTATTATTGGGATAGAAAACAATTATCTGGATCAAGAAAAGCAATTTCAATGAGCAAGAAAGGTACATGAATACCTATTTAGTACATTCTAACATTATATTTTTTTAAATGAACTAGCAAGCCAGTCAAAAGGGCCTAAATTCTCCAAGTTTTATGACAATCATCAAGCAGTTTTCACACAACCAGAAAATGTAGGTAACACCGATAAAGAAACTAACTTTGAAACAAAAAAATAGAAATTAAAGAAAAAAAATCTCAGACACATGTTCACTCTTTTTACCATCTGTCTTGAACTCCTAAATTGTAGAGCTGACTGAAATAAATACTCCGTAGCATTAACGACTTATGTCCATTAGAATATGGTACCTTATCAGAGCTGTTGTCTTGCATTGCCTTTTGCACTTCAAGGTCCTCTCTCTTCACATGCTCACCATACTTAGCAATAAAATTTGCTCTAGTCAGCTGAATCTCAGAATCTTCAACCTCATAGCTCCTATCTCGCAACATTTTCAATGAATTCTTGTGAACTGTATATAGCCTCGTCGTCTCTTCTTCCGAAAAAAACATGTTTGTGCTGCTTCTTAACCTATGTATAACAGTACTAATATGTTTGGACACCAAAATTAGTTTCTTCCCCAATAAAATACGCAACAGACACTAGTTCGTCTTACACAGGGCAAGTTGATAGGATAATAATAACAATAGCAACAGCAATGATGAGGACATACAGAGTATTATATACAAAATAAGTTTAAAAAAAAGGGTTCAGTCAAATTCTCCATAATGTAACTCCATTATGCAGTAAAAATGTACTAGTAATTTTTAAAATTACAAAATGGTAGGAAGACATGTTCAATGACTCAGAAACCAGTGAAAGGGGATAGCCGGCAAAGAATGAACTATATGTAGTGGCCAACATCCCCATTGCCAATTTCACCTGTTCAGTTAATTACATTGTCGTAATAGTGCAACATATTCGAAAACATAGAACTACATCAAAATCAAACTGTAAATAGTACGAGTAATATGTTAGTTTGTATTTTACACTAGAGAAATTTCTATTGGTGTTAGGATTTGAACATTTTTAGGGTACTCCTTTAAACAGTACAAATCAATATGAAACTTATTCATTTAAACAAATGATAATTATATAATTGAACAGAGGTGTTAACAGTAGGGTTATTGATGCAGAGATCACTGCTGCATATTTTCAGAACATATTGCCCCGAAATTGAAAATCAAAAAATTAAACATAAACATGGTAGACATGAACATGGTAAACAAGACTATCCAATAATTGCGGAGGGTATATCCCCTCTTCAATCCCGAGAATTAACTGCGAGTTTTATCCAAGTAACATCTAAAGATTAGAGTAAAATCTAGGAATTTACCTAGAAATCTTCAACACTCGGGATTGAAGACTCCGGTCGTAGCTTTTGGAACGACGATCGGCAGCTGAAGACTCCGGTCGTAGCTTTGGAACGCAGGTCGAAGATTGAAGGCTTTAATTTGAAACAGGCCTGCAACTGATCTGGGCCGAGACGATTGAGTTTTTGTCCAGAGTCCGGACACATTTGGAAAAGCCAAGTCCGCCCGAAACCGAATTGAACTTTGAGCCCGGTCTGGTCTTACACCTATCGACCCTATACTTCTAATTAATCCTTGATTTTAGGGAAAATTATTTCGAATAATGTCATCTTTTCGTGCTTATTAACAAATACGGAGTAATATTATAGTACTTTTTATTTTTATGGAAAATAATTTTACAATTTCGGATGTGTGAGAATTTTGGGTCGTCGTTAAAAGGCTAACGTTATTTAAAGAATTTTTAATATTTGTTTTTTTGCGAATAAATGAAATGTGAGATTATTTTAGATAATTTTTTTTTTTAATTTCCAACTTTAAATTTAAATAAAAAAAACAGATGTACAAATACGGGGTTCCCTACATTTATTCATTTAAAAAAGTCTTAGGAAAAGTAATCTCGAACAGAGAAAAGGGAGATGCATCTATGGCCGTCAACGAGGCTCAGGGACTCCTTCAAGCAGGGCTACTTGCAGAAACTTGAATGGAACCTCCGCATGATGGGGGCGGGCGACAAGCAGCAGCCGAGGGAGTCCAAAAGCGGCGGAGTCGGCGGCAGCAATCATCAAAAGCTGCTGGATGACGGCGGTGCCGACGGTCTATCGGCGAATTCCAAGGGTTCCGGTAACGGAGGAGGGGTAAGCTTCCCGGTGGTTCTCTGCAGAGACCTTCTCATGATCCTTTCTTGCTGCTATTGTTGCTTCTGCTGCGGAGGTACAATTATCTTTCCTTTTCTTCACTATTTTGATTTTTGCAATTGGACTGTTTTTGTTGACATTGTTAACCCTAACTTTGAGATTGTCTGTTTAGTTTACAATGTCCCAATCTTCAACAATTTAATTATTTGATTGAAGTGTATAAACCTATTGAACTTAGGAAAACATATTGAAATTGGCCACCCCATTTCATATATGCTCTCTATTGTTCACATTGCAACAATGCAGTCACAATAGTTTAATAGTTTTGTCAATTTCAAAGAGTAAAAGGTTTCTAATAAACTTTGGTATGTAATATTGTGCAATTTGAGATATTAATTATTTATTGTGATTAGGCACGACTTTCGACTCCATGCTCTTTGAAACTACGACGTTCAATAGAAACTTTTGGAGATCCAGGATTAGAGTAGTTGGGTAGACGTGTGGCTTAGTTCGTACTTTTGGCTGGGGTGTTTAATGTCTTGATCTGCAGCTTGTGCTTGTGTGCTTTGGATTTAGTTGTCTTAGACGGTATATTTGTTACTTCTCTCTTTGATACTTCTTTGTTAGTGTTATTGTGGTTTGTTTGCCCGTGCTTCTTTTTTGAGTCGGGGGTCCGTTGGAAACAACTTCTCTACTTTCAAGTAGAGTAAGGTTTGCGTACACTTACACCCTAAGACCCTACTATCAAAACACGGCTTGATAATTTTTAACCCTCCTTGGGACAATTTGGCTGACCATGAACGTGATGCCCTAGTTTCAAGCTTGAGGGAAAAAATTGAGTCCACGTGTTGACCTTGCGTGGGTTATATACAAATTGAGCAAGTAGAAAGTTTTAAAAGTTTCCTCGATCGTTTGCTGAATTACATACAGGTGAATGCCGCAACATGTTGTGACACAAGACAAAGTATAGAACACTTCCTTTGGCTCCTGACCCAAAATAGCGTGTTTCATTCTTGGAAAACAGTACTAAAAGGAAATGGGGAATTTACTTAAATAACACTTAAACATAATGACTTTTCCTAAATAGCATCATATGTGCTTTTTCCCAATGTAGCACTTTTAGTCATTATCCATTAGTCATTATTCAAGTAAATGTTTGTCATCACTAGACACTATTCCTCCTTCTGCACATTATTAAGTGCTATTTAGGGAATAAAACAGTTTAAGTGTTATTTAGAGAAATGACTTAAGGTTTAGTGCTATTTAGTGCAAATATTTCAAAGGAAATTAAACACAAATGTTGAGGAACATATTTCTTAAGAATAGTCATAGGAAAAACAAAGGATGATAAATTCCATGAATATTTTTTATTTATTAAGTTTTATTAAATAGACATAAATAAAATAGAATGGAGTATAATTTTTTTAAAAAGGTTATTGGGGTCGAGTCTATCTTTTCTTCGTTGCTGTCATAGTGGCAGCGTGTTTCATTTGGTTGATGGTTTTCCATGATGGGATTCGAGGGATTCAAACTTCATACCATTGCGCATGATTTCATTATATTTCAAGCTTGTTATCTTCGTCCGATCTGATCTTGTCTTATTTGATTCTAATTAGAATAAGTAATACTCCGTAAGTAATAAGAATAAGTTTAAGAAAACAAGTTCTTAGTTAATCATCACCCTAGCCTAACAAAATGTAATGTTTGCAATGCTATTTGTAATATAATTAAAGAGTATTAGAAACCTTTTCCCCCCTTTTTTCTTTATTCAAGATTGATATAGTGCGATAATCATCCCATGATTAGCGGTTGCATTTGAGTCGGCTTTTTTAGAAACAATCTCTCTACTTTCGAGTAAGGTCTGTGTACACATCCTTCCTAGACCCTATTTTTGTGGTATTTTACTGGATTTGTATTTGTTAATCATGTGACGATTGGGTTGTGTAATCTCTCAGCCTGCAGCGCGGACGTAGAGGACAGGTGATTGAGCTAAGGTAGGAGGAACATCCAAATATCCAACTACAGCCGTGGAAAAAACTGAGATACACACAAAAGAGAGGAACTCTATCAGAAAAGAGCATTATATTGAACTTCCTCGTATGTTTTCTTCATTTACTTCTCTATAAACCCCTGTAAGTATATAATTTTCTTTTATTAGTATAACTAGCCTGTCATCTGTGCGTTAAAATCATTGTGTTTGTTGTTGTATTTGTATTGTGACACCAAATGTACGCTTTTCAGTAACAAAAACAATAACTTGAACAATATAGAGAAAGGATGTGTACCCAGACCTTATTCACGGGAAAATTCACCGAGGTTTGAGTTCCAGAGAAGGCTGAGACGTTGGCTCATTGTGCGTCATTAAGTCGAGAAAGTATAAATATATATCATATTGTAATCGAGTCAATAACACTCGAAAGCAAAGTTTGCTTGTGACATTATTAGGCATTAATTATTTTAACAATCTATAACCACTTCCAATAAGAAGTGATTTAAATCATCTTTGTATCAAAGTCTAAGATAATTAAAGCATCAGTAAGCTAAATGAAAGAAACACCTTTTGTGAATTGCATCTCAAACTACCCTCATAAATCCATTATTCGGTCCCTGTCCGATACAGGTTTGGACCAAGAAATGCATTGTATTCGGTCTCAGTCTTAGTTAGATTTGGATTGATGCGCACCCCTATCAGTTTCAGTATTGAGAATATATATATATATATATATATATATATATATATATATATATATATATGAAATAAATTTTATATTACAATATAGTCAATAGTTCTAAAAAAAATTAGAGCGGTTTAGAAAATGGCAACATTTAAAGAAAAGCAAAGTTCAATTTTACAATAAGAAAAACAAAGTTAGTTAGAACAACATAGAATTTAGAACTTTAATGTACAAAAACATGAGTTGCTTAGCATTATTCTAAGAGCCCGTACCTCCGTTCATAAAATTGATGATTCTCACCCCCCTAAACCCCCGGTAAACCCCCGCCAAGTCCTGACCTAAACTAATCACCCCATCTATGTCAATTGCACCTCGTAAGTATAAAGTCAAAACTTTTGACTTTAAAGTCAATTATATTTACGAGGTGTAATTGACTTAGGTGAGGTTGGGTCGAAACTTGGCGGGGGGTTAGGGAGGGTAGGAATCATCAATTTTATGAACGGAGGTCAGTAGGAGGATACTGGCCACTGGAATCCAATGGCCATGATGGCCATGAAACTGGGCTCTTATTGTAATTATAAAAACTGATGTGGATCTAATGTGTACTCCCTATTGCACAGTGGAGCTGCATTTTAACAAAGAGTGTTTACTAAAACTACTGCATTTTCTGGCATTAATTACTGTACCTACCCATAAATAGTACCAATAAGTAGTGATTTATACTCCCTCCGTCCACAAATAAATTTCTCGTTCACTATTTACAGGGTCAAACTTTATTGGCCTATTTTCGTCACTCATTTGTTAAATAAAATAGTCATGTCACCTCTAGTTTTGTAGATCTTTTGATATAGTTTTTTAATATGTAATTTTTATTTTTAAATTTTACACCATTTTTTATATAAAATGATTTGAAAATAATTTCAGTCAAACATCGTAACGCGCAATAGGAAGTTTATTTGTGGAGGAAGGGAGTATATTCTTTTTGTAGTGAAGTCTAAGATAATTAAAGTCAAGTCATTAAAGCTCTTCATTTTAAAATGAAAAAAAAACACATTTTTTTATGAATTGCTTCCCAATGAATGGAGCTTTAACTGACAATGAAAATGAAAAAAATATGTATATATTCATTTAATTTCAAGATAGTAAGAAAAATCATAATGGAAGTGACAATGAAAATGAAAAAATATGTATATACTCATTTAATTTCAAGATATTAAGAAAAATTATAATGAAAGTGATTTAAGCAATCTTTCCGTGGAGAGGCTTGAGAAAAAAATGCCAACGCCCAATCGGTAAAAGCTCTTCTTGATTTTATTAGAAAGAGAATTAAAAGCGAGAAAATGAAACATCCGGTGGCGGAGGCGAACGAGGAGAGCCCGTTTGGGTCTCTGACTCCCGACGAGTTCTACACGCGCCACTCCGTCGCTCACGGTTCCGAGTTCATCACCAATTCCCGCGGCCTCAACATCTTCACTCAGTGGTGGACCCCACTCCCTCCCGTCGAGCTCATCGGCGCCGTCTGCGTCGTCCACGGCTTCACCGGCGAGTCCAGCTGGTTCGTGCAGCTCACCGCCGTTCACATAGCCAAGCACGGATTCGCCGTCTGCGCCATCGACCACCAGGGCCACGGCTTCTCCGACGGCCTCGTCGCTCATATACCGGAAATCAATCCCGTCGTCGACGACTGCGTCTCCTTCTTCGACTCCTTCCTCGGCCGCCATGTGCCGCCGCATCTCCCTTCTTTCATCTACGCCGAGTCTCTCGGCGGCGCAATCTCTCTCCTGCTCACTCTTCGCCGGGGCGATTCTGCCCCCAATCGATCATTCCACGGCGTCGTTCTGAACGGTGCGATGTGCGGGATCAGCAATAAATTCAAGCCGCCGTGGCCGTTGGAGCACTTGCTCGACGCTGCTGCATTCCTGGTACCCACCTGGCAAGTGGTTCCCACGCGCGGCTCTCTACTCGGCGTCTCTTTCAAGGTCTCTCTCTCTCTGATATTCTCTGGCTCTATTTCATTCTCTGAAACATTGAATTTAATTTCATTCCAATTCACCTCTGTAAACTTGAATTTAAAATTTGATGAATGAAGGAAGAATGGAAGAGAAAATTAGCGGCCGCAAGCCCTAGGAGGCCTACGGCGAGGCCGCGAGCCGCGACTGCGCGGGAATTGTTGAGGGTGTGCAGAGATCTGCAGGGGAAGTTCGAGGAGGTGACGGTTCCATTTCTGATTGTCCACGGCGGCGACGACGTGATCTGCGATCCGGCCTGCGCGGCGGAGCTGCACGCCCGGGCGGCGAGTGAGGACAAGACGCTGAATATCTATCCAGGTATGTGGCACCAGATGGTCGGCGAGCCGGAGGAGAACGTGGAGCGTGTGTTCGGCGACGTGGTGGAGTGGCTGGTAACTAGGGCTCAACGCGCCGCCGCCTGCAAAAGGCCGGCATAAGACGGCGAGTGGTAGGTATTGGAGCGGGTGAGACACGTTCGGGACGTGGGCGGAAATGGGAAACGCATTTGATTGCGAATTTATTTATTGCCCCTTTACTTTTGAGAATCCATGAAACCCACCCCCTTACTTTTCTAGATTTCGATCACTTCTCCCTTACTTTTGGAAAATCATTACAAGTTGTGTTCAAAAGATACTTTGTTTTTGAATCCAAATTTCCAATGAGAATTTTTATGGAGACTAATTTTTATTTTTTGAAGCATTAGATTCACAAATTAAAAAGACAATGTGGAGTTTGGGATGTTGAATTTATTTTAAATTTAATTTACAGAGTATTTTAAATTGGTATAATTGAAATAAAATAAATATATTTAAAAAATATTCCAAGAAAAGCTGGGAAGATAATTATAAAACGGAGGAAGTACTACATATGTAAGACTAAAACATGCTTTATATATAGAAATAAGACCTTCAATATATATTTTCATATTAAAATATAATGCCAAAAATATTGTAAATACTAATATACAATACCAAATTGTGGATGTTTCAAAGTCGACAACTCAACACTATTATTTAGAAGAAATAATATTGGTCTTCTTTTAGTATAAACTGAATGTTTTGCTGTTTTGGTCTTATTTATATAATTTTCTAATTTTAAAATACATTAAAATTTAAGATTTACAAAACAAGAAATGTCGTGATTATATTATTTGACAATTTATAGATGAAAACATAAGGAAAAAAGATATATATTGACCAGGTAAATATTAACTACTCTAACTATAACTATCTCTAATGTTTTGAGACAAAAGGATGGGAAGAACATGAAAAAATATGTAATAATAATATGCCATACATTAATATATGCAAAAAAAAACAAAAGGAAAAACAATAAGATTAAGCATAGACATGAGAAGTAAGCCAGGAGTTAAATCCCTTAAATGCGGAGTACACAAGAAAACAATAAAAAAACGGTATTAACAGAATGAAGTTAAAATTTCATGACACAATTAAACCTATTGGCCATCCTATGTACATCTTTGATCTTAATGTCATCATAGGATCGAAAAACACATCCATTTTAAGATCTGAAGATCAACATCTGATTGTACATTAATTATTTACACTCATGATGGTGATGATGAATGAGGTTCTTAGATCCGCCATGGAGATTGCATACCAGAAAGCAATCCAACACCTACAGGACAACGCGCCGATCCAGTTCCTCAATGCCTGTTGTCGATTCTACGAGCTCGCTGCGTTTCTGGTGGATGGCACTGTTCGCCTTCTTGAAGAAATCCCCGCCGACCTTTTGGAAACCAGGCGATGGCTGCAAGAGCGCATTGACGCGGCCGAGAAGGACAAAGAAGTAAAAGAGGTCGAGCTCTACAATAACCAGATCCAACAAATGGGTCGCGACTTGGAACTTTTAAAAGACGTGTTTGGAAGAATAATTACATCTGGAGATGATATTCTTCCGAAAGAAGAAGACTCAAAAAAACAAGAGCAGGAAGAGGAAGAAGAGGTTCGTGTTGTTCCCTCATCGGCGAGGAAGTGGGAGAACGACGAGGAGGAGAACTTGATCCAAGTGTTGGACTCGGTGCTGAGGTGTCTCGAGAGGGAGGAGGAGTTGGTGATGAGCGCGAGCAGCGAGATAGAGCAGCACAGCGTGCGCCATTACCTAGAGATCTTCAGGACCGAGGAGCGCGAGGAGAGAGAGGCCATCCAATGGCTGTTGGACTCGGACGAAAGCATTCTGAGCTCTGTGAACATTAAACTGACCAAAGCTCTCAAGCAGCTCCTCGCTAGCAAGGAACTCTTGTTGGATTTGGAGCATGGTTTAGGCTTGGAGGACAATAATGGTAACAAAGAAAATAATCATAACAATAATAACGATGTTGTCGCGATCGAAGATGGCGACAACAATGCCTTCTCATCACTTAGGAGGTTTCAACAAGTCCTAACCGATTTTGAGGACACTGTCCTTGCTTGTTTAGCGAGCAAATGCGCAAGGTATTTGAACACGGTATCCGAGCCTTGTTTGCTAGGAATTTCAAACAGATAGCGTTGAAAGACGACTGGCAATGTGTAATAGGAACGTGTCCTTGTTCACAGGATAGCGGAACTGGAGCGGCAATTGCAAGAGCTGGCACATCCTATTGCGTCACTCAAGAAAAAGAAAGGGCGTTACAAGAAGGCGTTCTTGGCGCGGTGTCGCAGCCTTCACTTAGCAGAAAGCGAGGTTGCGACGAACACCGCTTGCTTGTTGATTTCTAACTCTCGTAATGACTTTTGTGGTACATCAAAAATTTAATGAATATGGACGTATATCATATATGTGGACATTGATTCAATTTTTGATGTAATGTAAAATCAGTCAAGTTTTAGACATTTATAGTTTTGGATTTGATTATAATTTGTGCATGCAGGTTGATATGCTGGGAGATCAGGTGGACTCACTGCTGCAGTTTCTTGAGAAAATATGCAGGAAATTGAGCAAAAATTCATCATTTTTGTCATGTCATTTTGAGGTTTGCCAGAGCTAAAATAATACCAAATAATGAAATTAATACTTCTTTGGTTTCAAACCAAAAAAGAAGAAGAAGAAGAAGAAATTGATGTTTGTTCTTTGTGCAGGTCTCTGACATGGTAAGATTAATCAAGAAAGAGTTAAGAAATTGCACAGCTAAAATTGATGCTTAGAGAAAGGATACAAATAAAAGATGCTGCATTTGAATAATAATGTGATGAACCACAAGGATGATATATTATCTGGGAACAATAATGATTGGGAGATTATAGTGTGTTATGTGTACTTGTAATTCAGAAAAAATTATGTATAGTGGCTCCAAAGTTTTATAATTAACAAAAAATAGTACTTCCTCAATTCTAAAATATTCGTTGAATTTAATTTTTCAAAATCAAATGGTATGAATTTTGATTTTCAATTAAATTGTGAAGAAATATAAATCCACCAAATAACCTGGCATAGGGGAGTAAAAGTACAAAGAGGGTAGAGCTCTGGATATGAATAGTGCTTACCTATCATTAAAAAAAATTCTCGGTTAAACTTTAATCATTTTCTTTATATATTTTCATTAATAAGTTGGTAAAATATTTCATTTAAGATGGTTGCAGGCACTACGAAGAGACACAATCGCAGATGAGTATCTAGAGACGACCTATGGCGTTGCCCCTAGAGACCTAAACTCGTTCTTGCATTGCATATGAATAGAATTGAATACATAATAATTTTTTAAAATTATTTTTTAAAAGAAATTTAGGGTCTAGTCGATAAGTTCTGAAAATATGATACGATACGAGTTCTGAGATTTTAGAGAAATACGAAATGAAGTTGTGATTTAAATTTAATCTATGATAGACATAAGTGTCTGAGATTTAAATTTAATCTGTGGTAGACATAAGTGTCTGACAACAAGAGTGGCTTGTGATGATAGTGATAGTCGGGGGGGTCAACAGTTATAAGAAATACTAAATCTCCATTTTCATGTCTACGAAATTTAAAAGATATCAAAACTATCTAATTGTTTGATTTGTAATATCTAGAGATATTAAATTATAATTGGGGGGTCAACAGTTATAGAAAATACTAAATCACCATTTTCATGTCTTTGAAATTTAGAAGATATCAAAACTACCCAATTGTTTAATTTGTAATATCTAGAGATATTAAATTATAATCCATTACAAAAAAAGTATTCTGATATAGGGGGGTCAACATTTGAAGGAAATACTAAATCACCATATTTATAGCTCTCAAATTCAGGAAATAATCAAATTGTAGGATTTGTAATTTCTAGAGATATTAAATAATTAAAACTCTTTTTATGTTTTATCAAATACAAAAATATTATGATATAGGATATATGAGAACTCACCATATCTTTTTAAGTCACCAAATGATCATTAATAAAATTATTTATAACAAACTATCCGGTTTGGCCAAGTGAAGGGTCAAGCAGCTCATCCGATTCAAAACTATCTAAGTATCTAGAGTTGACTTTGTACAAAATTACATGGTAAATTACGTTGATAAAATAATATTTTAAAAATAATATTATAAGTAAATCTTATAAAATTATTTTTATATCAGTGACTAATGTGTAATATAAATTTTAATTAATTAATAATAAAAATTTATCAATTTTAAATACAAAAAATGAATCCACTTGATACTTGATCTTTAAACATAGATGACCATACTCTACCGAAAGTTATTCTAAGATACCTTCGTTTTTTCTTGTAAGAAATTTTAGCTCTTTCATTATCGAATATATATATATATATATATATATATATATATATATATATATATATATATATATATATATATATATATATATCTCAGGATATTTTCGATTTTCTAGTAATACCTATATATCATGTTCCACACTATTTGAAATATATTCCGATTCGCAGTTCTTAAAATTTATGATGTTATATTGCAAGGGCACATTCCGTAAATTTAGGCGCTAGGATTGAAAGTTTATTACTGTGACAAATTGATAGATTTTTATTAAATTTTGATGAAATAATGAGCACAAGTAGGGGTGTTCGTCGGGTCAAACCCGGACCGGACCGGACCGGGACCTGACCGGGACCGAATAAGAGGAACTTTGTGGACCGAGGACTGGACCGCTTAAGGTAAGGACCGGCCCGAGACCGGACCGGTAAAACCCGGACCGGACCGGGACCGGACCGAATAAATGTAATTTTTTATTTTATTAAATTCAGTTTTATTTATTTAATTTAAAGTATTCAATTGTAAAAAAAATATTACTACAATTAATTTTTCATGTGTAACATACACTAAACATTTTCAAACATTGATGTTTTTATTTTTTTTAAACTTTAAATAAAATATATATCCTCCATCTATATTACTTAAAATTTGTTTGTAATTTTTATTTTACATATAGAATATTCTTCTTCTTATTGTGTTTTTACTTTTTTTGTAATATTTTTTTTTGTGTTTTTGGTTTGTTTTGACAGGCGGATACATTTTTTTTACTGTTTTTGTTCATAAGATTGTTTACAATAATTTTTTGTTGATTAAAGTTTTATTGCTGATAAAGTACAAACTTAAGTTATAGTATTATTACATCAATTAAATTGCATTATATCGCTTATGTAAAGATAATGTTTACTTTTTTACACTTTTCATGTTAAAAATATTTAAATATCATTAGAATTGGTATCTTATTTTGAATTGGAATATATTAAAAGAATTATATTAAATACTCCCTCCGTCCGGAAAAAATCTTCCCGTTTCTCCTTTTTCTCCGTCCAGAAAAAATCTTCCCATTTCAATTTTTAACACACAAACTACCCTAAATACCCTCACCCATTTATCTTCTGTTATTTTTTCCTTTCTTTTTTTTTCTCCTTTGTTCTGTCGTTTCTCCTCAGCCATTTCTTATTCTTCTCTCTCTCCCACACCCACCACTCAGCCCTTTCTTCTTCTTCTATGCTCTTTCCCCAATCTTCATCTTCTTCAGATTTACTCTTTCTTCTTCTTCTTCTTCTTCTTCTTCTTCTTCTTCTTCTTCTCCTCTGGCCTCCCCCCATCTCTCTCTTATTTGTTATCCCTCTTCTGCCAGATCAGATGTACTATTTCTTCATTTTCATCTTCTTTCTCCTGATTTTGTGTCTCAAATATATCGATCTGCGACAGATCTGTTCATGTATCTTCTCCTCCTCCTATTCCCCTCCCCCCTTCTTCTTTCTCCTCTTTCTCTTTTTCTCCCGGACATGGCGGCTGACAACGATGGTGGTCTAGCGCCTAGCAGGGTAGGGTTGAGATTTTTCTTCTCCTTTCTAGTGTCAACTATTTTAGATCTAAATTTTTGGGCGGGCTGACAATTGTGATACGGGCAAGGTGGTGGTGGGGGGAGGGGGGCTCTGCGGTGGTGGTGGGGCTGCAGCGATGGTGGGGGGAGGGGGGGCTCTGTGGCGGTGGTGTGATTGACGGAAATGGTTGGAGCAATGGGAAGTGGTAGTGGCGGGCAGGGACAATTGTGGCAAAAGAGAAGGGTAATTTGGACATTTCCCTCCCAAAGTCAACACTCCACAAAAATGAGAAAAAGTCCAAATGGAAAGATTTTTCCCGGACGGAGGGAGTAATAAAATAAAAATATTTTAAAAACTTTTAGTATTAAAGTTAAATTAATTTTAAGTATAATAAAAAAAACTTTAAAAACTATATTAGAAAACTATATACTCCGTAAAAAACAAATATTTAAAAAAAAATTAAATGTAACCGGTCCATCGGTCCGGACCGAAATCCGGTGGACCGGATCGGAACGGACCGGAATCCGAATAAGGAAAATGTGAGGACCGAAGACCGGACCGAATAAGGACCGGTCCGGACCGATTCGGTCCGATTTTGGCCGGATTTCGGGTCGGTCCGGGTTTGGATCGAATAATGCACACACCTAAGTACAAGTTAAAATTTAGTATTTCTTACGGAATATTTGTCAAAGTGATGAAAGTCAAAACTTTTACACAAAATCAAACGTAACTTGAATTATATTTATAGGGAGTAAAAATGTAAGAGGTGAAAATTGTTAATAGACTTTATCCCCAACACTAATTAGGGACACTAATTAGGGGTGAGCATGGTACGGTATGGTACGGTATTTAGCCCGTACCGATACCGTACCAAATATTTCGGTTCGGTATGAGATTTTACACCGTACCGATCGATCCCGACATATCGGTTCGGTATGGTTCGGGATGGTTCGGTATCGGTTTCGGTACAAATTGGGATGAATATACATACCTACTTTACACCTTAAAGTTTAACAATGCCCCTTTATTTTTGAAAATTAAAAGTGAATTTAAATAAAAAAACGTGAAAAATTAAAAAAATGAATATTTAAATGCAAGGGATGCATATCAAAACATAGTTTATATTTCACAAACTAAAAAAATGAACGACAACAAAGGGTTTTTCGAATCTTTGTGAATACTTTTATGTTTATACACAAAAACTAAAACTCAAATAAAAGTATAACTTACCCATGATAAAACTTGAACCAATTTTTTTAAAAAAATTACTCCGTATTATTTAGTGAAGGAATATGAAAAATATTACTCCGGGGTATTATTTTTTATAATATTTTAGTATATATGTTCGGTTCGGGATTTTCGGTATGGTACGTCACCTCGTACCGTTCCCAAATACCGTACCAATCATTCGGTTCGGTACAGTTCGGTTTCTTCTCGGTACTTTTTTGGTTCGGTATTTTTCAGTTCGGTATTCTCGGTTTTTTCGGGAAATTTCGGTATCGGTTGGGTACTTGCTGACTGACTAATCCACTTTCTTCCTACCCGACTCCCGAGTACAAAATTATTTAAGATCACAAGTCACACCCTTCTTCTACCAATTCACGGTTCTTCTGCTTCTTCTCCCTCAGGTATTTCTCGTTCAAACTCCCATATCCGACCTTCTCTGTTTCAAATATTATCAAACAATTTGTCATGCTTTGTTTCTATTATGCAGACATGAAACACGATTAGCAGATGTTTTTATCATTATTGAATTTCTAGATCTATATTCAAATTGTTAAAACGGAAACGCTGATCTTCAATTACCCGTTTTTTACCAAAGAAGTATGTGGAATATCTACAGATCCGATTTTCACACATCTGAGAAGTATTTGTTTTGTTTCATTTGGTCAAATCTATTTTGCGATTTAATTTTCTATGTTTTCTATGATGTGTTTATCAGTTTTAAAATTTTAAATATTTGAATTTCGAATATTAATTTTATCTACCCAGCATTACGTGAGCAAATCTGTGTTTTTTTAATCAGATTTTTTTTATTTCTTAGGCAAAAGAAAGTTTAACACAAAGATGCACGATTTCTGGTGTGGAAAAAGTGAACAATTTTAGTTCAAATTGTATAATGAGAGCAGGAGCTGTTTTTGTGCCTTTATAATTTTTGTTGGGATAAAAATTCAAAAGCTTTGAATTTATTATTAGGAAATATAGGAATCACAAAAAAATATATGAATATTGATATAGTTAGTCTTTTGCAGTACTCTGGATCACTCCAACTCTGCATTGTTATATGTAGTATATAAGATAGATCATTATGTAAGAAGAGATACAGGTACTCCAACTCTGCATTGTTATACAGGATTATTAAAGATAGGTCATTATGTAAGAAGGGATACTGGTCCAGACATTCATATATGAATGATGAATAGTTATGTAGAACTCGTGGAAGATCTGAAAATATCATTGAAACATTGTTTTAAAAAAACAAATTTTCACTTCATCTTACATTTCCGATTAAAAACTTCAAAAGTTCAGAGCAAATGGGATTCCGTGATGTAAATTTTAGAGGAAGTGGTTATAGTCATTTCTTTTTCCTGTCAAATGGGCGATGTTGAATCATGCAAGCATAAGTTATGCAAACTGATTTCTGACTAGAGCATCTCTTATCCGGGGTTTCATCTATTTCTGTTTTACCAAAAAAACCTAACTCTTCTATAATTTAGCTCTTAATTCTGTTTTTATTTTAAATTCTCCGTTGTTCTTAAAGATATATTGTTGTTGATTCTCGTTCCTTGAAATTTGCAGCGTGAGCAAATGAGTTGCATCGATTAAAAAATGTTTGAACTACTATTTAATTATGTGGATATTATTCATATCTTCTCAAATTTCAAATAATCTTTTTTTTCTAACTTCTTTGCAGCCACTGTCTATTGTTTCTTTTCCAAATTTCCAGTATGGAATCTAGCAGGGGCCAAGGTGGAATTCAACTTCTCTTAGCCGCAGAGCAAGAAGCTCAGCAAATTGTTAATGCTGCGAGGACTGGTGAGACCCGTTGTCTTGTTATTTTGTGAGGACTTTGGGTTACAAATGGATTTGTAAAACTGTCATGTTTCCCCTACTTGTTTATGACTTGAGTTAGATGGTCTTTTACTGTTTACATTTAACAAGATTGATTATTCTCATGAAAGTTATACCGTTACTATCATAGAATTGTGTTTGAAGAGTAGCTATCTTGTGATCTTTTCATGGTAGATTTAGTCAAAGATCTGATAACTTGTGTCTAACTCCCCCCCCCCAAATGGTCCACATAATATTACCTTTAAACACAATGAATAAAAGTTAAGAATCTGAGATACTTAACACACCCTCTCATCCCAAATGGGGTTTAACAATGGGTAATAACTCTCCCGAATGGGCTGCC